GCGGCCCTGTCTGCAGGGAGGGGCTGGACGTCTGGGGCTTGCGTGGGCCCCTGGGATGGCAGGATCCTAAAAAGCAAGGCGAGGGGGGGGACCCCAGCTGCTGTGATGAATGACATCATCTGCTGGACAGTGGGAGCCGGCGCGGGGCCCATGGCGTCCTCGTGGGGTGCTGTCCACTCCAGGGCCTCTGAAGCCCCAGGTAAGCTCCGCTGACCACCTGCTGAGAGGAGGGGAGCCTCCGGGTCTCCTCTCCCCTCTGGGTTGCCTCTCCCTCTGTGACCCCAGGCAGGCAGGTAAGCCCCTGACCTGTGTGGGCTTCAGTTTCCCCATCTGTAAATGGAGTTTGTCTCCTGTGACCACCCCTGCCCCAGCAGGCCTGCAGGCCTGGAGATGGTGGAGCAAAGGCACCTAGAGTCATCCGGTGTGGCTTGGGCCACGACGACCCCCACCCCCCACCTTGCCTCTGGGGATAAAGGAGGCGTGGAGGAGGTGTGGCCCGAGGTGAGTCCTGGGGACGGTCAGGAGAACACACGGTGTAGCTTGCTAACCTTGTATGTAAAGCACGAGATAACAGGCTCCGAGAGAGGGGCTGGCGATTTGCCTGTGGTGTGGTGTGCACTAGCCTTGGGCGGTATTTGCGGAGCCTCCGTGGGGCTTCTCTGTCAGTACTGGGCTGTGCCATCTGCTCAGTGGGCTGTCATGAGTTTGGAAGGCCCCTGGTACGGAGTGGGCACCGAGCTCATCTCAGGTCGGAGAATGACCTGTTGTTGCTCCCACGGGGGAGGCCCTCGTGGAGATCAGCAGCTGTGGGGCTGATTGCAAGGATACCAAGTGGCACCCTGAGCCTCGGGCCGGACCAGCCATGGTGTGTTCCTGGCAAGGAAGCCAGCCGCATGGGGCCCACCGAAGCCCCGAGTTTGTCTTAAGCCCATAGCTTTGGGTACTGTCTCCTTCTGTGTCCCCGCATCTCAACCTTTACTGAGGCCCGGGCCTGAGAGTGAGTGTTGGTGTTAGTTCATTGCAGGCTCGGTGTTTGCTCACTGGAATTTATTCATCTTGGAAACACAGAGCTTGGAGTTTGGGCGGAGCACTGGGAGAGGCCCTACAAAGATGGAAGTCAAGATCCCACCCTCATAGGGGCTGACAGACGGGCAAACAGGGCAGCCCTCAGCCACCCTGGCAGCTCAGAGGAGGTGCCCGACCATGGGCTCATTGGGGGAGGCTTCCTGGAGGAGGCAAGAACTGGGCCGTCCGTCCCCAGGCATGGCCCGCCTTCTGGGTGTCTGGCCTGTCCCACTGCCGTCTGTCTCTGCCCTTTGGCCCTTCTGCTTCTTGGGGCCTTGAAAGGCAGGCTGGGAGACTAGGGGGCCTTGGGGTCCAGCTGGCCAGGGTGTCTGAGAACAGCTGGAGTCTGGGACTGGCCCTGAGACTGCCAGCCGCTGTTCTCGTGGTCCCCCAGATGCTCCTGGTGTGCTGTCCCTGCATGGGCCGGGTCTCCTCTCCCCCCCTCCCCTGGGCTTGCTGTCCCAGGGCCTCCCTGAGGAGTAGAACTGTTTCACTGCCTGCATCTCGCGTGCTGTGCTGCCTCGGGTGGGTGCTTGACCTCCCTGAGGCCCAGATGCCTCATCTGCTGCGCCTTCCTCCCTGGCATCTTCAGTGTTCCTGGGAGGGTCTGCTGGGGAAGGAAATGGGCCTTCAGGTTGTACTAGGGCCACTGAGAAGCGGGGACAGCGTGACACCAGATGGGCCACACCTTGACGTGGCCCCTTCCAATGGTGCCTAGTCTTAGCACCTGTTTTCCTAACCTTCATGGAGATTACTGGGAGGCTAGCCTTGCTCCTCCTAATAAATTTGGCTTCATTTTGTTTGGTGAGTGTCTTCACTGGGCTGAGCATGGATATGGATCCCAGCAATCCCCACACATCCCTGTGAGGTCAGTGCCATGGATCCCATTAAACAGATGGGAATACCAAGGTGTAGAGAAGTTCCGTGACTCTTGCAGAACCATCCAGTCAGCAAAGCATGAGCTGAGAGGACACACTTAACTGTGAAGGATAGCCCTTTGCTGGGGGACAGCACTTTTCTGGCCCTACAGAACGGCCAGCTCTGTCCCAGGGGGTGTGGCCCGTGTCCTCTCTTCTCGGGTGACCTTTCCCTTGCAGGCAGCCCTTAGAGACTCAGGCAGAGCTGCAGCTGTGTCCGGCTGTGCCTGGAGAGCTGGTCAGCCTCCAGACCAGGCTGTCGCGGCACTGGGGACAGGCCCCACGTGCTTTTCCTTCAGCTTCTTTCTGGTCTCTTTCCCAGCTAGACCCAGATGGTTTTCTGAAACTTGCTTACGTTCCTTTGGAAAAATGGCATCATTTTTTTTTTTTTTCTGTAAAGCAGGAATAGAAATAGAAAATTGATTTATCAGGAAGAGTATAAAGAAGAAGATAAATATCACTTGTCGCTCGGGCCATCACGGCTAACATTTGGGAGGCCTGGCTGTCTGGTCCTCACTGCTGTGTCCCCAGGGCCTGGTGCCCAACAGATACTCAAAAAATATTTGTGACCAAATGGAAACAGTGAATGAGTATTTCTGAAAACTGAGATCAGAAATTATATTTGTTCTTTGGCTCTGTGACATTCACCTTCTCCTTTGGTGTCATCTACTTAACCATCCCTTTGGATGAGCACTGGGTTGCTGGGAAGAACACCTGTGTGTATGGAGAGGCCATATCTCTGGTGAGTCCTTACAGTGCATTCCTAGAGGTGGTGTCGTTGGGCCATGGGACGGAATCAAGGGGAGAGAAGCCTCCCCCATTCTGGTGCAGGATCTGAAGAGTGCTTCCTGCCGTCTCTTTGGGGTGGGGCGCCTTCTGAGCGCTGCTGTGCTGGTAAGGGCAGGCAGGTCAGAGCAGCAAGGAATGAATTATGGATTATGCTCTTATAAGTCACATCAGAGCAAATGGAGTTCATACTTATCTGCAGACACAATGTACCTTTCTGGAATCAATCAGTGGGGATGCTGATTCCCTCTGAATAATCCTGCATGGCGTGTTGAGAAATGCTGCTCCCTCCTGTTCGAGAGGAGTATCACTGGCTTCCACCTCTGCCTTCCCAATCGGCTGGTTTGCACAAACATCCCAGTGCCCCTGGGCACGCTGGACCTCAGCTCACAGACATTGCGGGTCTGCCGCTTGCCGGAAGTGCCGGCATCTGTGAGACCCCACCCAGCTCCCTGTCTGCCTGCCTGTCTCCCGACTCCCACCCCACAAAGCGGCTCCTGCTGAGGCCACTGACCCCCTATTCCTGAATCTGGTGGCCAGTTTCCCCTCCTCATCTTGACCACCTCCTAAAACCCCTTCTTCCCTGAGCCTCTCTGGTCCTCCTTCTGTCTCCAGGCTGCTGGTGTCCGATCTTCCTTGCTGATTTCATGTCTTCTGTTCCACTCCAAAGCCTGGCATTCCTCCATGCTGGAATGTTCTCCTCTTATTCTGCATTCTCTCCCAAGGCGATCTAATCTCATGGCCACCACTGAATCACTCTGTGGCCTTAGGTAGCTTACTAACCCTCTCTGTGCCTGGATTTTTTTCTCATCTCTAAGATGGGCCTAATATCTGTACCTATCTCTCCAGGTGCTGTGAGGACTATATGCTCCCCAACTCCTATCACAGGGCTTGACAGATAATAAGTGCTTCATTCATTCATTCATTCATTCATTCATTCAACAAATGCTTCTGGAGTGCCTCCTGCATGCTGAGCTCTGAGTCCAGGCACAGAGGATGCAGCGAGAATAAAACCGACCCAGGCCCTGCTTGCTTGGAGCTCGCATCATGGCGTAGCATGGTTTGTCATATGGAAAAGAGCAAGAAGGCAGAGCAAGGGGCCTGGGGGATGAGAGATGTGCTGTCAGAGGCAGGGCAGCATGGCGTCAGGCTGGCCCAGGGCTCGGGGTTTGGATTCTGGGTTCAGACTCACCACGTCCAGCCTGGCTGCGGAGCTTGACCGCGTTAATGCTGTTGCCTCCCCTTGGCTATGTGACTCTTGTAGCACTCAGTCTCTCTGTGCCTCAGTTCCTCATCTGTGACACTGGGCAACCTCACCTACCTCACAGGGCAGTTGTGCGGATTAACGAAGGGTGGTCTAGGTGTCACACTCAGGATGCAACAGTCCTAGGTGTCACTCCAGGCCTTGTGTTAAGGGCTTGGGCTTTGCCACCATGTGGGCTGTGAGGGTAGCCCTACCAAACGAAGGGCCCGGGCCTCCCCAGGAGGAATGTGAAAGCTGGTGATGCTGTTAGCTCATCACGACGCCCCTGTCAACTGGGCAGCCGCTTGGGCCTGGCCTGGCAAGCATAGCGGCCTGGAGGGACTGCAGGCGCTTCCACTGGGTGCAGAGCTAGCGGCTCAGGGTGACCAGTGCTGTGCTAGTCTGGGGTCGGGGAGAGGGAGCCACCGACCTTTATGAAGTCAAAAAGGCCATTTTTCAGAGTGCAATCCTCAGATCCTACTCCAGAGTCACCTGGGAGTGTGGATGGAGCATCCGGATTCCTCGGTCCCACCATGCACCTCATGCTCTGAGCTCAGGGCTCCACAGGGACCCGCATTTTGGAACAAGCACCCTTGGTAACTGGGGCTCACTGACGGCTACAGCTGGTGGTTTACAGGTTGCTTGGGGGTGGTGGTGTGATCCCCTCTCGAGAAGGACAGAGGTGCACCAGAACTGCTGAGGGTGTGTTCGCCCAGGAGCATCACCTGGGTGCTCGTGAGAAATGCAAATCAGATTCTCTGGGGTGGGCGCAAGACTCTCCACCTTTACGAGCTTCCGAGAGATTGTGTGGCATCCAGTGTGAGAAGCACTAGGTCAGTGTTGTGAATGGCGGGGCCTCCGTGGGATGAGCAGGTGCGTGGCCCAGGCAGGGAGACCTCAGCCAGCGCTGGCTGCCGTTGTGTTTGAGTGCTCGGGCCAGGACGCCAGCCTCTCTGTCTCTCTGCTAACCTGGACTCCCTCCTCCCCAGCGTCCCAAGTGATGGTGGTTTACACGGAGGACAAGCTGAGCCCTGCACACCTGGTTAGCACGGCGGAGCCCGGAGCTGCACCTGCTGGCTGGTGGGTGTGAACCAAGGGATCTCAGCGTCTCAAGCCAAGAGGAAGCATGTCTAAGAAGAGCCGGAACAAGGGCGAGAGGCCCGAGATGGAGGCTGATGCCGTGCAAATGGCTAACGAGGAGCTGCGGGCCAAGCTGACGAGCATTCAGATCGAGTTCCAGCAGGAAAAGAGCAAGGTGGGAGGGGTGCGGGCCCCCTCGCTCCACGGAGGAGGGGGCGCTGCGAGTTCCCTGGCGGGGGTCTTCCCAGGCTGGGGTTGGGGGTGGGCACTCAACCTTTGAGCCTCACCTTGCCCCTTGGTGAAATGGGTATACCATCAGTGGTGGTACCACATGGGTTCCAATCTCGGCCCCCTCCTGTCTCATTGTGACCTTGGACCAGCTCCATCACTGTCCATCCATGCCATAACGCCCTCACCTGAAAGATGGGGTCATAACTGCCCCTCCCACCCCCAATGGACCTGTGGGTAGGAGTTAGGAGGCGAGGGTACTAAAGAGCTTCCAGCAGAGTCTGGGTCTGGGATGGGGCTGTTGAGCTCTCGTGGGGCGAGAACGAGCTTTGGGGCTGGTCAGTACAGTGCCAGGTTGGGTGCCAGGCAGACTGTAGGCATCCAGGTCAAGTGCACCTGTGACGGGCAGCCTGGCACCGTGGAGGAATAATAACCAGTCAGTTCAAAGTCCTAAAGATCCGGTGTCATGGATTCAGAGCACAGCCCATCAGTGTTGTCACTCGGGTGGTTTGAAGGCCAAGCAGGACGGGGCTCTGTGGTGTCTGTGGGCGAAGAGAAGGGGGTGGAGCTTGCTCCCCGGCAGCCTGAGTGGCCGAGGGTCTGGCCTGTTCTGGGCAGGGTGGGGGAGGTTATACCCAGGCCCTGAGGTGGTGTGCCTTCCAGCCCTGCCCGCAGCACCGGGAGCCTTGGGAGGGACTGCTGGGGAATTGTCGTAGGTGTCCGTCTTGTTGAGCGCACTGGGACTGGGCAGCAGCAGGGGGCCAGATGGGGTCCAGCTCCCAGGTGGGGAGGGGCTGGGGCCTGGGCCCTGACTCAGTCCCCTGCTCAGGACAGCGCCATGGGGAGCAGAGGTAGAGGCCAGGACCTGGAGGAGAGGAAGGTTGGACTCCTGGAGCTTGGGGACAGATGTGCCCCCTCCCATCCCCAGACACTCAGGGCCCCACGCCTGGGGCGGTCCCCCTCTGCCAACCTGTCCACGCTTTGTACAGCTCAGGAGGGATTCACCTGCTGGGATCCCTTGGGGCTGGCAGGCCCCACCCCGAAGTAGCAACAGCAGCTGTGGCCACCGGGAAGCAGAGGTCGTTCTGCCAGGGCTCCATCCCACCCCCACCACCTAACTCACCCTGAGGTCTCGGGGCAAGCCATGTGACCACCCGTGCCTCAATTTTCCCCTTTGTTACGTGGGGTCCTCTGACGTGCCTGCCTCCCTGAGTCATTTGAAGAATGAGACAGTCACACACGTGTGCTGCCTGTCACACACAGTCACCCGCCACTTGGCGGTGACATTTATTACGTGTCTACTCTGCAGGTCGTGCCAGGTGCCTTCGACGGCCTCCCGACCTTGGCAGTGACCTGTGAGGTCCGGGGGGGGGCTTTCTCCAGTTGATAGGTGAGCGAACTGAGGGTCAGAGAGGAGAGGTGACTCGCCCAGGTCAACTAGCTTGCCGGGGCCACCATCACAAAGCACCACAGACTTGGTGGCTTAAACAACAAGAAATTTATTCTGGAGGTTGGAAGTGGTAGATGAAGGTGTGGGCAAGTTGGCTTCTCCTGGGGTAACTCCCTCCTGGGCATGGAGATGGTCATCTTCTCCCCCGTGTTCTCACATGGCTGTCCCCATCTCTTCTTTTAAGGACACCGGTCATAATGGACCAGGGCCCACACAGATGACCTCATTTGACTTAATTACATCTTTTCAGATTTAATCTCCAAATGCAGTCACATTCTGTGGTCACGCGGGTTGGGACCTCCATTGGGAATTTGGGGGACACACCTCCACCCATAACAGCAGGTCTCAGCACAGGTGTAGGTGGCGGCACTGGGTTGGGAGCCAGGCCGCCTCCCTGCGGGGCACGCCCTGGCCGCCTGATTTCTCAGCCCAGCCACCCCCACGGCCCCTCGGGAGGGCTTTCCCCGTGTCGCTGCTTGGGGAATTTCTGTTCTCAGAGCAGTCAGCAATGTGCTTATGGGCTGGTAGGAAAAACAGAAATAGAAACTTTACAGTTGCATTTAAATGATATTTTTATATGATCTTATAAAATTGTAATTGATGCTGCAGTTAAAGTGTTGTCATTTCCCCAGAGGATCCTGTTGAACACCGTAGGACGAGGGGAAGTGCTAACTGTATCTGTTGATTCATTCATTCAGCAAGCCCCTGTGCCATCGCTCCGTGTTGCACGGGAAATATTAGGACACGGAGTAGGGGCAAGAGAGCCCAGGAAGGCTTCACAGAGGCCGTGTGGAGCCGGCTCCTGAGGCTTTTGCTGGCTAGTGAGCCAGGGAACGGTGCTTACATGGTCCCAAGTGTCCAGCAACACCCATGAGTTCCTGACTTGCCGAGGCCCGGGTCTGGGGTGGGCAGGGGCAGAGCTGGGGTGTTATTGGTTGGGAGGTGGCTGCCACAATCTGGGTGGTGGCAGGGAGTGGGAGAAGCGACCAGGCCTGGAAATGGGGAGCCAGCACTGACAGATCGGACGAGGAGTGGGGTGGCGGGGGGCAGGGGAGGCTGACTTCCCTGCTCCAGCCCAAGCTTCCCCACGCCAGCCGCCCTCCCCACCTCCCCCCCCCGGGGGTGGCCCCCCCCGTGTCGTTTTTCTTGCGTCTTCCTGCGCCAAGGGCTGAGGAGTGGCGGGTGTGGGCCCCTCCCTCCTGCTGTGCCTCTGGACTTGGGGAATAGCTTGGAGGCATCTGGCAGGTGAAGTGCCGGCCGCTTTTTAGACTTGCTTAGCTCGATGGAGTAAGGAGCAGGTGCTCTGTACACAGTGGGCCAACCCAGCCTTGCTCTGCTGGACTTGGGTTGTGGCCCCTGGGCTCGGCCCTCGGCTCCTCAGGGCAGAGCCGGTGGGACCCAGCGGGGCTTTTTCCCTTGACCTCGTCTTTTGTCAGCATCCCTGCCTTACACACGGTGTGGCCTGGCCGGTCTCAGCAGGCCCACCCTGCTCCCCTCCACATTCTTTCCTCCTTGTCCACATGTGAGCAAACTGCCCTTTATCCACTCATCTGCCTTTGGCTTTCCTCCGCCCGAGTCCTCATGGGTAGCTGCTGATGTCCCGTTTCAGAGTATGTAGTCAGAGTTCTTCAGAGAGGCACGGAACCACACCAACCAGTGTGTGTGTGTGTGTGTGTGTGTGTGTGTGTGTGTGTGTATGGATGGGGAAGGAGAAGGAGACAGAAATTTTTTTAAGAAGTTGGCTCACATGATTACGGAGGCTGACAAGTCTGAACTTTGCAGAGCAGGCAGCTGGACATTTCAGCAAGAGTTGATGTTGCAGTCACGAGTCTGAAGCAGTCTGGAGGCTGAATTCCTTTCTCATCCTGGAGCTCAGCCTTTTCTCTTGAGGCCATCAACAGCTTGGGTGAGGCCCAGCCTCGTTATGAAGGGTCAGCTCCTTTACTCAAGGTCTGCTGACTTAAATGTGAATCACATCTTTAAAAAAAATACCTTCACAGCAACATCTACATTGGTGTTTGGCCAAATGACCTGATCCCATGGCCCTGCCAAGTTGACCTGTGACACTAACTGTCTTGAGGCTCAGTATCCCACATCAGTGCAGGCTGGGGATGCGACCAGTCCCCTCCTTCCGACTCAGGTCCTTGTCAGCAATAACCAGGGAAATCAGAAGAGTGTGGCCTCCCAGAAAGGACAGTGCCAGAAACATTTAATGCCCTGCTGGGGCAATCATGTTCAGTATTTAAACTTCTGGTTCATTGGCACTCAATCCATTAGGAAAAGACTCCTACTTCCAGCCCTGGGAGAGGTAGACCCAGAACTGATGGGGTCCCCCATTTTATTTCTGTGGTTGAGCGTATTTGACACAAGGAGATGCTGATCTTGTGTCTGCCTAGGCTGGTTTTGCTTCTTTCTCTGCTGTTGTTAAGTGAGGGCTGATCAATACCCAGGCTCAGTGTGTAAAACTCCTCACCCAAAATTAACTTCAACATGTCTGGGGAAACCTGCCGCCTCCCACGGAAGTAGCTTGTCCTCGGTGCGATATAGTCGGTTTCTGTTTTCTGGAGACTGGTGTGATTTAGAAAGCGAATGGATTGGCAAGGGTTCCTGCCGAGTGTGTGTTTTGTGTGATCCTTGAAAAGGTTGAATAAAGCATTTTGGAGTGTTTTAAGAAAATACTCCTTTGGCACATTTTACAAAGCAATGTTTTAAGTTTTGCTGATTCGATAAATACACTCAGGCGGGGTTGGCAGCCTGGTATCTGCGGAGCCAGGCCCTGGGGCCAGGTGCCTGGGGGTGAGCGTGGCTCCGTCCCCTGCTGGCTCCTGCCCGCGGGCAGGTCGCCACTGCTACTTTCCAGCAAAACAGGTACCTCCCTCTCGAGGCTCCTAGGAGTTAAAGTGGGGGAACCGTGGGAGCCCTCAGCCTATGGAGGGGGCAGCTTAGTAAGGGTGGTTGCTCCCCGCATGCCCCTCTCTGCCCCCATCTTCTCATCCTCCCTAAGTCCCCAGTCCAGTGCGTAGGCCCTGGAAAGGTATTTCTGGAGTAAAATATGTTCCTCTTTGGTGAGAGATGATCTCTGCCTGTGTGTCTTGTGTTTTGCGATAGATAAATTGTGCTCTCTTGTGAATCTCCAAATTGGAAGAGATGTCAAAGTCTTGACTGTCCTCTCCAGCATCTTCAGATGTTTTTTCCACCTCTAGAGAAATTCTCAAGAAAATAGTAGGAAATATAGTAGGAAGGAAAAGAGGTGGGGTTGGTGAGGGTCAGGACTGTGGGGGTGGCATGAGGGGGAATTGGGGTGCAGGGACCTGGGGAGGGTCACAGGGGCCCTTGTGCACAAAGTGGCATGGGGAGGTGGCTGCTGGGTCTGGCTGGCTCCCCCAGCTCTGACCCTGACCACCTCTCCCGGGGCTCCGGCCACAGGTGGGCAAACTGCGCGAGCGGCTGCAGGAGGCCAAGCTGGAGCGGGAGCAGGAACAGCGGCGGCACACGGCCTACATCTCAGAGCTCAGGGCCAAGCTGCATGAGGAGAAGACCAAGGAGCTGCAGGCACTGCGCGAGGTGCTCATCCGGCAGCACGAGCAGGAGGCGGCGCGCACGGCCAAGATCAAGGAGGGCGAGCTGCAGCGGCTGCAGGCCACGCTGAATGTGCTGCGGGACGGCGCGGCCGACAAGGTCAAGACGGCGCTGCTGGCCGAGGCGCGAGAGGAGGCGCGCAGGACCTTTGATGGCGAGCGCCTACGGCTGCAGCAGGAAATCCTGGAGCTCAAGGCTGCACGCAAGCAGGCCGAGGAGGCGCTCAGCAACTGCATGCAGGCCGACAAGACCAAGGCGGCGGACCTGCGCGCTGCCTACCAGGCACACCAGGACGAGGTGCACCGCATCAAGCGTGAATGCGAGCGTGACATCCGCAGGCTGGTACGTGCTGCCTGCACCCCTTCCCAGCTGGCCTGCATGCACCCTTTTCTTCCCGCCCACATGCATCCTTTCCTCCCCCGCTTGCATGCATCCTTTCCTTCCCATAGGTGTGCAGTGAAAGCAAGAGTTTTGAGGACCCACTGCGCAACAGACGTGGTTCTATGCACGGGGCTTCTAGCAAAGCCCCTCCCCGTCCTAGTGGTGGTAAAGAGGCTTTGGGCAGTTAGAACTCTTCCTGCTAGGTGTCGGATCCTTGGTATTTCATGGAACAGCTCAGAAGCACAAGTTTCTCACCTGTAAAATGAGGTTAATAGATAAGGGGCAGGGTTATTGGAAGAAAGGACTGTGGAAGCTTATTGAAGTGCTGGGCATTTATTTATTCATTTCATTAATAAACCGGAGCACATTTATACCTCCAGGTAAGACGAGTACATAGGAATAGGCCAGCCATTCTGTTGCAACAACTGGGGAAAACCATAAATTGCCAATAATAGTATTTTTAAAGACTGGAGGGCTATGGAAGTTCTGAGGTCTAGAAGAGCTAAAATCTCAAAGGGAGGAAAGAGAGCCTGCCCAAGTGAGCCAACAGTTACCAGCCACCGTCTTCCCTGGGGGGCATTTGCTCATCCTGGGTGTGGGCTGGGGATTGGGCTTCCCCCAGCAAAGAGACTCCACCAGGGCTGAGAGAGGTGAGCAGGGCTTTTTGCCATCTCTCAGGGTCAACATGACAGATAGGAAACTAGAGGATCCCACACTTGGGGCCGGTTTGCATTCTAAAATATTCACTGAGTTCTGGGGTGATGTGGGAGGCCAGTGAGGCTGGGCAGAAAGGCAGAGCGAAATCTCCCAGAGCCATACCATGCTTAGGAAACAAAGCTGGCCAGCCGGAGGGGCTGCGACAGGCACCCCACCAGTCTGCCCTTCGGGATGACTGTCGGACTTGGAGCCTGTGCGCTGCAGAAGGTTGAAAAGGCAAGTAAGCTAAGCTTCTCAGACTAGAGTCAATGACAGCAACAATAGTGATATTTATAAGAGGTGCGTCTTGATTATGAGGACAAGGTTAGACTGAAAACTGTAAGGATGAACATAGGTACAACATCCAAACACTAAGCAAAAGAAAGCTGGTCTGACTGTATTCATGCCAAAGATCTTAAGGCAAGGAGTAAAACTAAAGAAAAGTAGGGACAATTCTTAATAATAAAGGGGTCAATTCTTAATAGCACTTAATAACAAAACTTCAAAACGTGCAAAAGAGAAACATCAAAATTAAAGGAGAAACAAATCCACAGTTATAGTTGGAGAATAGCACTCTGTCTCAGCAAGTGATAGAACGCATAGGTAATAGATGAACAAAGATACGTAAGATTTAAACAGTACAGTGAACTGACCGGAGCTATACTGACAGAATACAGTATTTTAGCAGCTGCAGATACGATTCTTTTCAAGGGGACATACACACTTTCTTTCAAAAATTGTGTTCTTTAGAATAAAACAGATTTTAGACAAAAAGGAAGAAAGAGTGAAAATCAAACTTCCAAGCTTCCATCTCGAGAAGAAAGAAAAAGAACAGCAAATTAATCTCTGAGAAAGCAGAATGAAGGGCCTTAAAGAGCAGGAATCACTGAAGTAAATCAGTAAAGAAAATCAACACATCAAAAGTTATTAGAATAGGTCAACTGATAAGCTCTGAGGAACACGGATGAAAGGACAAAGAGACAAATCCCCAGTATACAGACCGTAAAAGGGGCACTACCACAGCCCCTACAGAAACGAAAGAGACAGTACATGTACTTTGTGAACAGCATATCTAACTTGGATGAAGTGGGCAGATCTCTTGAACAAGTACAACTTAACCAGACTGACACTATAAGAAATAGAAAATGTGAGTAGTACTGTGGCTGTTCAAATTAAATCTGTAATTAATAGTTTTCCCACAATGAAAAGCCCAAGCCCAGAGGCTTCACAAGTAAATTCTTCTAAGTATTTAAGGAAGAAATAAAACTAATTACACAGACTCTTCCAGAAAAGAGAAATTGGGAACATATTCTAATTCATTTTATGAAGGCAGCATAACTCTGATCCCAAAACCAATGATACAAAAAGAAAAGAAAAAATGTAAATCGTCCTTTATAAACATAGACATGAGTACTAAATAAAATATTAACAAATAAAATCCAGCAATATATAGATTAGGGAGGATGTGGAGCAGTGGGAACATTCAGATGCTGCTGTTGGGATCGTCAAATGCTATGACCACTTTGGAAGATGATTTGGCAGTTTCTTAAAACAACAATTTATGCTGCCCAGCACTTCTACCCACCAGGGGTAGACCCAAGGGAAATGAAAACACGCGTTTACATACAGATGAGAACGTGATCACAGCAGTGCTATTTGTAATGGTAAAAACGTGGAAGCAAGCAACCCACATGTCTATCAGTTGGGGAATGGATAAAAGGTGCTATATTCATATAATGGACAGCTACTTGGCAGTAAGAAGGAGAGGAATACTGAGGGTGTAAACAGCACCCACCGTGATGAAATACTCTGTCAGGATGGCCCTCTGTAGAGCAAACAGAGTTGTTATTCCTTCCATTTAATATTTATTTGCCTGAGTTCCAGCACTAGCCTAGGCACCAGAGCATCAGAGAAAAATAAGATGTGGGCCTAGACAGCAGAGAGCTGACAGTCAACCAGGTGATGGAGCATGAACAGGTTATTATAGTGTGAGGAGGTCAGTTTGATGATAGGACCGTGCCAGCTCAAAAGGCAGCAAAGAAGAGCAGGTGGTGACTCTGGTACGTGAACCCAGGAGTCATTTCCACAGAGGAAGTGAGCTGGGTTTTGAAGGATGAATAGGAGTTTGTCTGGTGATGGGAGACCATTTCGTGCAGAGGGGGAAAACCCTGGAGGTAAGAAGGAGCACAGTGTGATCATTTTTCCTGTAAATTTAAAATAGCCATGGTGATGTTTGGTACTTGGATTCCCAGTAAAATATTAAATGAAAATACAGTGGAACCTGCCATTGTCAAGGATGAGAGACTTCATTTTCTTCCCTTTAACAAAAATTTTAAAATTATGAAATGTTTCTGGGGCGCCTGGCTGGCTCAGTCGGTTAATCATCCGACTCTTGATTTCGGCTCAGATCGTGATCTCAGGGTCATGGGATCGAGCCCCAGGTCGAGTTCTGTGCTGGGTGTGGAGACTGCTTTTCTCACTCTCTCCCTCTCTAAAAAAAAAATTATGAAATGTTTCGGACAAAAAGGATAGAGGAGATAATGAACCGTTATGTACCCATCACACATTTCATGAACAGAAACATCACAGGCACTATTGAAACCCCCTGCCCGCTCCAGGCTCCTGCCCCGAATTTGGAGTGCATGATTCCATTTCTTGTGCATGCAGCTCTAAAGGGTACACCATATTCCAATGACTTGTGGTCAAGGTCACATTGCCGAAGGATGGTCTCATGCCCTGGGGGACGTCCTCTGGCAGACCCCATCATAGCATACAGGGTTTGGGGGGCAGAATAATGATGGAAGGCATTTTGCTTGCATGCTATCTTTTCTCCTAATGGACTCTCAGGCGTGGGCACAATATCAAATGCCCTCCGCGTGGTTTAAAAACTGCCCTCTGTGGCGTCCTGTGGAGCACAAAAGGAGTCGGGCCAGGGATGTGGCTGTGGGGGTGGGGAGGACGGATGGCTGAGCAGCGGATGATGTTGCTGGGGCACAGGGACTTTGCCTGTTCTCCCTGTTGGGTTTCTGTACATAGACTTGTTTGCAGAAAGTGGTTCTTTACCCGCTGTCTCATTTTGTGGACTAGGAAGCCAGTCCAGGGAAAGTGACTTCACAAGCAGAGTCCCTGTGACCTGGCCTGGTCACTCACTCGTTGGCAGTACCAAGCTCCTCTGTGTGCCCGGTCCTGGCCTGGCCCGGATCCCACCATGCCTGTGACAAGCTCTAGCAGTGCAGGTGGCCAGGAAGGCAAGGGGCAGGACACTTCGATGACAGGCCCTTAGAATGTTTTCTGGTGGCAGGAACCTCTTTTTTTTTTTTTTTCTTTAAAAAGTTTTGGTCATTGGAGGACATGGTCATTCGTTCCCCACCCTCAATACCTGAAAGATTTTGAGATTCCAGAGGCTCCAAAGAGTAGAACTGTCACCTTCCTGGGGAGATAGTGAGTATCTCAGCATGGGGAATGTGTAAGTAGAGGCTGGGGGAGGGACCCTCTGTGGGAGACCCTGTCCAGCTGTCCAACTTGAGATCGGTCACCCGACTGGCCAGTTTGCATCTTACCAATCCAGCACTGGGAGCAGCAAGAGGAGATACACTGATTTTAAATTTCTAATTTATAGAAAATCTAAGCACATACTGATACTGAGTTCTCAGAAATAATCTCCGGCTCCTTTTCTCTTCATCTGTGTTTGTGTGTGGGGGTACATTATCACATCAGGGGAAGGCGAGCATTTGGAGAAGGTCTGCTCTGGGTGCAAACCCAGTCTTGTTCACCGGGTGAGCCCAATCAAGTTGCTTACCATCTCTGAACCTGTGGCGCCTCATCTACGAAACGGGACTAATCACATGCCTGCCCCAGGGTGATGAGAATCAAGTGAACTCCAGCTTATCACTTCTGTAACAGGAGGCCCGTAAACTATGTTCCTCTCTTGCAGGAGAAATTCGTATTGAAAGTAAATAAAATGGGGGAAGGGACTGCTTGAGCTTAATTTAAAATAAACCCAAGGATTTGATGTCTGTTTCCGTTTCAGCACTAAACAGGAATATCCTCAATTCAGGTGTTCTCGGCGTGTGTGTGGTTTTCCCTTAAAATGGACACTTGAAGAATAGAGGGACACGAACAAGTGTCCATTTCTCTGTTATCCTGCAGTTTGGAAAATGTCACTCCTCAGGCAGGCCTGTTGCTCATGGCAACGTGTTCGGAAGGTGGCCTGCACTTCATTTCTTCATCGGCTGGATCGGATTAGAAATGCAGGAAGGCCTTTG